AATTTTGATTTAATAGTTTTATTTTTTGTAAACTTCCATCAAGTCAAGTTATCGAAACATAAATCTTGATAGCAATCATCGTTAATATGTTTATGAAAATAATTGCGACACCTATGTAAAAATAAAAGGCAGCTAATTGAAACCTTGAAATTCAGCCATTCACTATAATGTAACCAGTTTCATACAACTTGCATGCAAAATGTATATTTGAGATGTCGAATCAGAGAAAATATGAAAAAGTCAACCGAACAAGATCATCGAAGGAGAAAATCTGGTATTAGTCCCCTACCAATGAAGTCGAAGGATACTTTAGGTTTGCACTCTGTCTGTCTGACTGTCTGGCTGGCTGGCATATCAGTTATCCACACTTTTTTCTTTATGCTTGAAGATATTGTTTTGATACCATGACAAGTTACAGATCGAGTTCGAATTTTGTTCCGGTCTGAAGATTTTGTGCAGAGTTATGGTCGTTTGACTTAGAAAATTCCCTTAAATAATCGGTTTTCTGCACTTTGTTTCGTCATTCTTGAAGATATTGATTTGAAAATTGGTATAAAGTTTTATCATGATAAGTTCGAATTTTGTTCTGGTCTGATGATTTTGTGCAGAGTTATGGTACTTGGACTTAAGGAATCAGTTTTCAACACTTTTTTTCGTCATGATTGAAGATATTGACTTCATATTTTTTTATATAGTTATCATCATGACAATTTATCGATTAAGTTAGAATTTTGTTCCAAAACAATGTATTTTTAACCTGTAGGGTACTATGTATTGCCATGCAATACTCACAGAATTCTTGTTTTTATCATTTTTAGTATTTAAACATGATATTTATATATAATTATCATAACTGATCATTTAATATAAAAATGATTGCATGAATAACATTTTTGTCCGGAATTTTTTTTTCTAAGATTTGAAAAAAATAAAAATTCAAAAAATTCAAAAATGACCTTTTTTCAATCAAAATTTAAAAAAAAAACTAAAAATATACCCTCTGAGATTTTTTTGTCAAGAATGCCTCGGATGCAATATTTCTTAATGGTGATATTCGTTTATGCCACAAAATCTGGATTACAAATTTTTGGAGCCATAAAAATGGGTTATTCTGTGAATTTTTGCAAATATTGATTTTTGGAAAAACATCCAATTTTAAAATTCAAAATTTCTACTTCAGATGAAAGAACTTTCTAAACTTTCAAATATATTTTAAAACACTAATATATAATAGTTTGATATCAAAAGAAAAACCGGAGATATATGTTTCCATTCTGTAACAAAAAAGTGGTAAAAACAGGAAAAAATGCACTTTTTACCGTGCATTTTTTACGTTTTTGAGCAAATTCAAAGTAACTTGTTTCCATGGCAACCAACACTTCAACTTTTGAAATTATTATTATTTTTGTTGTCAGTGCACCATGACAAACCCATGATATGAAAATAAAGAAAATCCAGGAGTAAGCATTTCTCATTTTCTTTGAAATTCTTTGATGCTTACAGAGAATGACTCTTAATAAGTATGGAATTATTATGCAGTATATTAGTATACAAATTAAAGGTTTTAGCTACAAAAAATGAAGAGTGACAGCAATTTAAGTTTATTAGGCCTACACAGAAAAAACTAATTGCCGTTTATATGAAATACATCATATTGAAAGTAATGATACATTATCCTCTCTAGTTCGCTACACAATTGTTAGTAAATTATAGAGTCATGTATCTATATTTTCAATGTTGTTTATCCCCACAAAACGACGTAGAAGTCAATTTGTTTGTTAGAAGCAGCTTTTCAGGTTATTGAGTAAATTGTCGAGGGCATAACCCGTTTTACCCGTACAGGGAGGGTTGGGCGCCCGCTAACATGTTTAAACCAGCCTCATTCTGTATGTGCCTGTCCCAAGTCAGGAGCCTGTAATTCACTGGTTGTCGTTTGTTGCTGTATATTGTATTTGTATTTCGTTCAATGTTTTTTACATAAATCAGGCCGTTAGTTTTCTCGTTTGAACTGTTTTATTTACATTAACATACAGTTTGATTTATTTTTGTTTGCCTGACTTCCAGTGGCAAATATTAGATGCAAGATATTAGTAAGGATTGTAGAGTGTGTCGACCGTGATGGAAGGCGGGAAATATCGATAGAATGTTAATTTGGATATAGACAAACTTGCAAACTAAGGACTTCTCAAAGAATTGAGATTGATGTTACAAAGGTTCTGTAACATGCTTAGAGCTTGGCACTATCTAAACAAAGGGTATCGGATTTAACATGCCCATGTCCAACCTCTAATTAAAGCTTTACAAGTACCTCGTATATATTTAAAAAGTAAGATCAGAAAAAAAATCAAATCACACACACACATTGATTACTATAGACAGTAATCATTTATGAAATTGAGTCACTTCACAAAATTGCTGTTTTCCAGATATTATAAGTTATATGGTTTGACGTCATGATACCCCTATGAAATTTACTGACCCCTAACGGATCCATAGAGTCACCAAGGGATGACGTTAAACCAATTAAATCGTCACTAATTTACCCGAGGTGTGATAAATATATTTGACCCGTCGGATTGAGAACGAAAAATCCGATTATTCAAGAAGGGAGAATACCAAGCTCGGACAAAAATCCGTATTCCTTATTAATGTGAAGGCTTACTTTCAGTCACCTATATCTTATAGATGTTCACATCAGTAATTTGAATTGTGTTGGTTAAGTAGTTATGAAATTTATATAAATTCAAACTGATGGTATTTCTCGTATAAAATTTTCTTTCTACGTAAGGAGAACAGGGTGATTTTCAAGAAATTGAAATCAATATAAAAATAAGAAGATATGGTATGATTGCCAATGAGACAACTCTCCACCAGAGACCAAATCACATAGAAGTTAACAACTATAGGTCCCCGTAAGACCTTCAACAATGAGCAAAACCCATGCAGCATAGCCAGATATACAAGGCCCCGAAATGACAAATGTAAAACAATTCATACGAGAAAACTAACGGCCTGATTTTAATCAAAACAATAAACGAAAAACAAACATGATATACAGCAACAAAAGACAACCACTGAATAACAGGCTCCCGACTTAGGACAGGCACATACAGAATGTGGAGGGTTTAAACTAGTTTGCTGGCGCCAAACCCTCCCCCTAACCTGGGACAGTAGTGTTACAGTACAACATATATAAGAACAAACTATAAAAATCAGTTGAAAAGGGCTTAACTCATCAGATCGATACAAAGCACACATACACTCTAACCAAAACACAGACCTGACGTGGCAGGGTATTTATACATCCTCACAAAAAAAAGACACTAAGTACAGATCTGAGAGTACTCGCAGTTACTGGAGCTACTTCAAAGCCAATGACAACTAATAAAATAATCCTGCATCTAAGACTAAAATAGCAATCAGTACACATCTAACTTCCAATGGATTTAGTGTAAAGACGTCATTTACAGTCAGGGAAAAACATGACCTTGTGCAATGCCAAGATACAGGTATCGACAGATTGTAGAGCCATGAATGTGCATATGTATATAAAATAATACATGTATTTAGTTTGATTTTAGTTTACTGTTAACAAAATCAATATTAATACCAATAAAAACCATATTCAAAGATCTAATTACAGTGTTGAATTGGTAACCTTTTAGAATAAGTTTATTTAAAGGATTGATAAGTTTACCCGGATCGTATCTAACTGTCCGGGCTTGGTAAACAACATCTCCGTAAAAATTAGGATGTGCTATCCCGTTTGAAATAAGTTTTCTACAGGTACACCCAAACTTCCAAACCAAATCTTTGTATCTATGGAAGAATTTAGTAAAGGTTTTAAGTAATTTGTGGTAACGAAATCCCTGACTTGATAATTACCAGTAATACATAGATTACGTTCATTGAAACCCAAAAGTCACAACAGACACGGGCAAAGCGAACGAGTTGTGATATATAAACACCGTAAGATGTTGCCAAAGGAACATCACCGTCCGAAAAAGGAAAATTAACAATAGTGAACACAAAATCATCCCTTTTGTCGTAAATTTTTGTGTAGAGTTTCCCATGTAAAGCTGAAGTATCTAAATCTGGGAAAAGACAGTTATTACCGTTTATATTTGATTTATTTAAAGTAAGTTCTTTTGGGTAAATTTCAGCAGTATATTTAGAAAATTCTTGATTATCTAACGAACAAATATCATCAAAATAACGGTAAGGGTTGTTGAATTTATCAATTAAATACAATTAAGACGAGTCTTTACTGAGTTTGGTCATAAACTGTGATTCATAACAGCACAAGAACAAGAGAAAGTCAACAGCTTCAATCATCTCATCACACCTCCGATAAGTATATCTAGCATATTTACCTTTCTCATTATAGAGGAAGGTTTTAAATGAGTTGCAGCAAATATATTTGCAATCAGATTTACCAAACGACCATTTAATTAAATAGGAAAACTTTTTTTTTATAAGAATGTGTGGAAGTGTAGTGTAAAGAGTTGAAAATTCAAAACTGTCAACAGAATCAAAAGGACCATCAAATGCACGTAATTTATCTACAACATCCAAAGAATTTTTCACACTCCAAAAATAGTTAATTCAACTATTTACATATACTATATTACAAAGGTTAATGATAAGTTATTTGATAGTAGTTAAGGAACTATTTAAAAGCACTGGAAGATTAGCACATATTATCAAGTTAATCTCGTAAAACTTTTTTTAATCAAAATACAGGCTAACGCACCTGTAGGTTATAGGTAACATAGCTCAACGCTTCGACTAATCCTCTCTTAAAAATCATGACAGAAAGTTAACAAATCGCTGTCAGCGAAATAACCTCTCGTTACATTGTAAAGTTTACATCAGCAATTATTTAAAAAAAAAAGTACTAATAATACCATAGATTCATCCAATGAGTACAAAGTTTATATAAAAATAATTGGAAACGGTATATAAATATTCTATATATGAAGTTAAAACAGAAAAGAACAGAATACTTCCAAGTTAAAAAAGTTTATTTCAAAGACAAAAATGTTTACATTTTTAGTTATTTGCCTAACATTGTTCAATAATGTTTCACCTTCCTCTCAGTATGGTACAAATCGAAAGACCATTTACGGTTGGATTCGTGGAAAAGTGAGCTCGCGTGTTCCAGGATTGAAAGTTGAGGAATACTTAGGGGTGCCTTATGCATTGCCTCCTATTGGACACTTTCGTTTTAAGGTAAGAATTTTTGTTTTATACATTTTGGAAGCGTTTTGTTATGAACTAATGTGTGTAATGAAGCATCTTTTCATCAAAATTAGATCTGTATCCCGTGAACTTATCCATTTAAATCATTTTTTCCACTTTCTTCTTTTTCTATAATTTGATCAATCATGTCAGCACACTTAAAAGGAGTATATATCTAATAAAAAAGCATAATTTTCCCTTGTTTTTATTTCAGAGACCAAAGGAACCAGTCAGATGGTACCCTATTGTATTAAATACAACGAAACTGCCCCCTGCCTGCCCTACTGTTAATCTAGACTACATACAATTCCACAAACCAGGTTTCAAAAACCTCAACGAAGACTGCTTGTACATGAACATTTATAAACCTTTGGTATGTACAGTATAAAATAACGCACTAATAGAAGTTTTCAAATAGATTTCTTTTTTAATATCTAAAATTAAAAACGAAATAATACAAAAATCCCCCTAAAAAATCAGACTGTTAGCGCTTTCAACCTAGGACTTTATATGTATATATAAACAAAAATTTGGTATATTTAAATATTCCTTAATTTACTTAAACGTTTTACTTTGTCTTTAGAGCCAACGACGAAAGCTGCCAGTGTTATTTTTTATACACGGAGGCTCCAATGCTGATGGAATGGGTGCAATGTTTGACGGGGACATATTAGCGGCTCACGGACAAATAATTGTTGTGACATTTAATTACAGAGTTAGCGTGCTAGGTACGTACACGGTAATACTTTCATATGACAAGCTAGCGCGAAGAAAAGGACAATTTGTAAAAGCTAGTATTATAAAAGACTTATTAGAAAACGTTTAAAGAACTTTCACCTGTAAGCAAAACTTCAACCATTATAAGATAAATCTTAACCACTTAAGCAACCAAAACCATTAAGCTATAAGTAGAAGAAGGACCAACAAAACCATGTCTAAAGAAGGAAAAGGAAATAATCATCAGAAATCATAACTAAACATTGTCATGGTTTTCTTTCTTTATCTTTTTTAAAAACTCCATATTTGTTGTGTGAACAATTAATGTCACCTACGGTACGAATGAATACTGTTACCTTCCTCGGCAACACTATGTACGACACCATTACAACTACTATATAACATTACGAATGTCTAGAATAAAACTACTAGTTTTTAGGATTTTACGCCAATGAAAGTCTTGGCATAAAGGGAAACAATGGGCTGATGGATCAAGTGCTGGCAATGAAGTGGGTTCAGAGGAACATTAGATATTTTGGTGGAGATCCATTTAGAGTTACAATACATGGACACAGTTCAGGGGCAGCTGATGTTGGTGCACACTTAATTTCACCTCTGACTAAAGGTATTGTTATTTTCTTTCTTTATTCAATAAAATTCCTTCTATTTTCAGTAAAGTACTAGTATACACTTCATAATGAGTTTGATTAAAAAATGCTACAGTATTCTCGCTAGATGTGCTTGAAATAATTTCTGAAACATTTATTCAATTCTTGCAAGAATTCATTATAAAATAAGAAGATGTGCATGGTATGATTGCTAATGAGACAACTCTCCACCAGAGACCAAATGACGTAGAAGTTAAAAACTACAGGTCACCGTACGGCCTTCAACAATGAAAAAAAAACCATATCGAATAGTAAGCTATAAAAGGCCCCGACATGACAAACGTAAAACAATTCAAACGAGAAAACTAATGGCCTGATTTATGTACAAAACAATAAACGAAAAACAAATATGATATACAGCAACAAATGACAAACATTAGTCTACATAAAGAAAATATAAGACTGAACGAATTGAAATTTTGCAATAATGTAGACTTACAAAAATAAACTGACAAGTATGGCCTGTTCGAACAGTTGATTATGCATTGCAGCTGAACATTTTCATTCATTCCCCTCTTTTTTGCCAGGTTTGTTTAGAAATGCCATTATTCATAGTGGATCGCCACTTGCATACTGGTTTATGTCAAAATGTGTGAGGTCCGGTAACACGTTAGTCATTCCAAAAGAATGTAGACGAGGAACCAGTTTAGTCACAAGTGAGGCGCGTAAAGCAAAGATAAGAAAGTTAGTGGAAGGTTCTTCAACTACTGATTTCTTCTCACCGTATTTCCCTCGTCAGGTAAATGTATTAAAGAATCATTTTGGTATCCTGACAAACTAACCAAATTTTTGTTCAAAGTATATATAATTTTAATCGTGGTCTCAGTGATTGCCACAACATAATTTCATTTCAGTTAAAAGGTTTTGTGTCTAAAATTAGAAAGGAATTTATTCAATACAGAAGTTTTAAAAGTTTTGATCAAGAAAAATTCCTACATGAACTAAATTGTGTAAATTTTGATAATTTGCTGTCAGTTGATGATGTCAACGAAGCATATTAAATTTGCAATCTGAATTTGCTAACATAATTGACAAGCATATACCAATGAAAAAAGAAGGTCAATAGTACCACCTGCACTCTTTCTCTTAGAAGGGCAATTTACAAAAAAAAGAATGTACCATAACAGGTTTCTTCAAAACAAAAGTGATACACACTGGGAGTTGTACAAAAGACAAAGAAATATTGTTACAAAAATAAAAAAGAGCTCAATCAAAACATATTTTTATGAAAGAACTGTTGGTGGTCCAAAATCAACAACATTTTATTCCCCTATAAACCATTTTTATCTAATAAAAGCATGAAATCATACAATAACGTAATTTTATATGAAAATGATAAAATTCTCAGTGATCCTAAAAAGGTATCAGAAATTTTCAATAAATTTTTCATAAATGTAGCTAAAGATATAGGAGACAAAAAACATTAAAGTGGACAGAAATCACCCAAGTATAATAAAAATCGAAGAAAATAATACTGATTATAATGAATTGAATTTCAAACCTGTAACAGAAGAATAATATTAAAGCTGCTCAGGTATCCCCACTGTTTAAAAAGAATAACTCTCAAGATAAAGAAAATTATAGACCTGTAAGCATGTTACCTTGTATTTTCAAAATTTATGAAAGAGCTATATATGATCAATTAATGGAATTTTTTAATAAACATTTTCATCCTCTACTTTCGGCATTTATGTCAGGTTTTGGTTGCCAAACAGCACTTATTAAGATATCAGAAGACTGGAAAAAAGCTCTGGACGACAACAAATTTATTGCTGCAATTCTGATGGATCTATCTAAAGCATTTGATTGTTTACCGCACGATTTACTTTTACTAAAATTGGAAGCATATAGTTTGTCAAAAAATTCTCTACAATTATGACAAAGTTATTTAGAAAACAGAAAGCAACGTATTAAAATTGAAAGTTCTTACAGTGAATGGGATCGTATGTTTAAAGGTGTACCACAAGGGTCAATTCTTGGTCCAGTTCTTTTCAATGTCTTCATAAATGACATATTTCATTTTGTACAAAATACCACCATTTATAATTAAGCTGATGATAACACTGTATCATATAGTGATTATGATATAATAGATAAAGTTGATAAAAGTTTAGAAACTAATACTTATAGTTTAAATCTAATAAACTGGTTTTCGATAAATTTAATGAAGAGTATTCCAGACAAATTCCAGGCTATAGCCATTTGAAAAAAAAAGACCAAATCAACATAATTTGACATTCAATTTAAATGAAAACAAAATTTCTTGTGAAGAAGATGTTTAACTTCTTGGAATAACTATAGATTCGGACTCAAACCTTCTAAAACGAATGGGTAAATATTTAAACAGGCTAGGTATGTTAACAACATACTATTCATTCATTCTTTCGAATTTTAACTATTGTCCAGTAAGTTGGCACTACTGTAGCGAAAAAAAAATCTTTTAAAACGGAACGAGAGATCTTAGATTCATCTATGAAGATTATGATAGTTCATACGAAAAACTGCTAGAAAAGTAAAAATTACCTTCTTTAAAAATAAGAAAAAAAAAAACTATTGCAACAGAAACATTTAAAATAATTCACAAAAAAAGTCCAAGTTATCTTCATAATTTAATTGATATTAAAATTCAGAAGTATGATTTTAGATCACAGGAAATAGCAGTTTGCAATCATACCAAACACGAACCTTAAAACGAATGGATCCTGTTTTTGAAAGTGTTATTGATGGAGATTTCATTACTGATAGTCCCGACAAACTGTTTACATGTGGCCAGTTTCATGCTCATTCAGTTTTGATTTTAATGGCACGCGATGAAGGACTACAAGCCTATCCACCAAGTAAGAAGCATTATGTGAATATTGAGTAGATAAAAATCTGACGTAGTATCTATGATAAGTTTATTTAGATAGAAATATGACGGAGTAATCATATGTATGATGTTTCAACTCCGCTAACAAGTACTATAGAACTATTACGTATTATTGACGCGTAGGATATTGCATTGACGCTAGGTTAGATAGAACTATGACGGAGTATTGACGTGTCGGATGTTTCATTGACTCTAAATTAGATATAACTATGACGTAGTATTAACGTGTATGTTTCATTGACGATAAGACTTTACAAAGCTGTTGATGTGGTTCATGGATGGAATGATTATGGGTTCTAAGGTCAAGGTCACTATTACTAAAAATACCAAAAAAGGATAAATGGTTTCCGGATGGTATCTGGAGTTTCCCATCCTTGATAGGAAAAAAATTATACCGATGGAAGTTATAGAAAAGGGAAGAAGTATATTGTATTGGGGTCAAAGTTGAAGATCCCTGTTACTGAAATATACTTTAAAAAAAAATGTTTTTGGAATGGTAACCCACTATTTATTGTAACCAGGTTAAAAATTAGCAATAACAGTAGATGTTTATTTGTCCCTCCAAGCATACCAGTATTCTGAAATAAAAATGTTTTTTTCTCAATAAATGTGCAGGTCGAAAATCATCAGTTGCAAGTGTTGGCATTTTACTTGTTTATTTCAGGTATTAAACGTTATTATGATTATAAAACAATTGATCGTTTTATAGCTGAGAACAAGGACTTGTTTCCTGAAAGAAAACACTTTGAAGGTAATAAAAGTATAAATTGCGTTTCACTACGGAAGGAAACATAAAAGTTTTAATATATAAGCTGCAACTTTACCGGAACCCTTGATTTTAATAAGTTACTTTTAAGCAGCAACCCTCTATCAAAGAATTCATGTGATGAAACACAAGCTCTGTAATATCGTATCAACTGGGAGATATATACTTCATATGCCGGTTCTTCTGGAAATTTTGCTACACAGAAATGTAAAGTTCACAATTAGGAAACTGAAATCATCCATTTTTGTCGTAAAGTTTTGACCCTAATTGTCAATTGCTAGATGTAAATCAAGGTAGGAGGCATACTTAACTGTATCTGTGGTATCATTTAACTCAAGATCGTTGGGAAAGATGCATTCAACATAATCACCAACCTTTGACTCAGTTAGTTAGAGGATATCATCTTTATGGCGGATCATGAAGTTAAAGGATAACGCAAGCTTTTTTTTAAAATTCTTTTTGATGAGTCTGCCTAAAAAGAATAAAGGAACAAATTGGCAAGAAGAGGAGCACATGTGGTTCCCATAGAAATGCCGATTGCTTGATAAAAAAACACGTCCTCCCGTAAATAATTGAGATTTTTGTAGAAAGTAAAATTTAGTTTTTAATTATTTTAAAGTCTAGATTGGGGAGTACTTAGTCTACTGTAAAGGGTATGAAAGTCAAATGTTTTTAAACTGTGTAAGAGGAGAGAGACTTAGATTTTATGTTCTCTAATAGACCTGTGGATAATTTTAGTAACGATGTCTGATTCACAAAACTTTTAAGTGATTGCTGATAAAATTGATCTTAATAGTTTGGAAAGAGGTTTCATGGATAACTTGCTAGTAACATGCATTCAGTGTTTTTGCATTGTACAAATTTAAAAAAAGATAACTTTTGATGGTAATTGTTACTGTCCTTATAACTGCCTATGATAAGTGTTTTGTAGGGTACACATTGTTGAAAATGGTTTCGAGAATTGCGTGTTTAAAAGAGACATTAGGAATAAACCGAAATTTCCATAAAATGAGTATGAAAACGTTCCTCGTCAGTGTGAAATTGTTTTTCGTTTTCATAGTCCAAAAATGGAAGAATATTGACAAGTCACTAAACAATACATACAATAAATAAATTCATGCAATTGGCTAAATTTTATCAAAGAAACAAAATAAAGACTTGTCAAATTATAGTATTATATACTTTCACTTTGGAAACAAAGCCATGTTCTAATTACAATAAAACATGGGCTGCACGTGATTGACGTCAAAATTGAAATTGCGACGTCAGTTGTATTTTGAACAACACCGGAGATCAAAATGGACATTTGTGTTGGTGTTGCTCGCTATTAAATAAAATCTTTCTAAAAGTAAGTTTATATTTATATCTGTTCACTTTTTATTATCGTGAAACGGTTGATTTTTTATATCGTTTTGACTGAGGAATATAATATACAAGGTTATCGATTTTGGCTTCATAAAAACAAAATGGCTGCGTTTCGAACGTGTATAATAGGCCCACTTCGAAGTACAAAAGTTCTAATTTTTCCTATTAGAATCGAAATTATTCTTGCCATGCTCTTTGCTCATTTTAACATGGATAGTCATTATGTTTGTCAACATTTTACACCTCGCTTACGCTCGGTATAAAGATATTATATTGACAAATATAATGCCTACCCATGTTAAAATGAGCACAGAGCATGGCATGATATAATTATTTCTTAATTTGTACATTGCTAACCACGGCAATTGCAAAATCACAATTGCTTTTCATTCTCTTAATTAAGAATGAATGGATGGGTGATAAAACAACACGCGACTGTATTTTGAGGTGTCAATTGAGGCAATGATACACGAATCATACAATCAAAGATAACTTAATAAGTATGCCCCAAAACATTCGGGTCATCACTTATAGTCTCTTGTATCTTAGTTAGTGTGATCATGCCTTCGTTTGAAACCCAAACTTATAGGAAATAAAACATTTCTATCATCTTTGAAATACAGGGTAAAGTTGTCACAGTAGCCGTTCTAAAATTATGCTCTTACATTGCTACAAAATAGTAACAACTGTCTACATGTGATACTTTCAGTTGGCTTAAGAATAATACGTTGTCAATAAATTTAAAATAACTACTTACACTGAAATACAGGTCAAATCGATTTTCATTGTTGTTGTAGTTACTTTTTGAGGTCTTAACAATCAAAAGTTGGCAAATATGTGGTTTTCCCATGAACTTGCTCTTTGTTTTGACCTTGCATCTCATCAATTTGAGAAGAAATATAATCTATTCATCAAAGTTAATTCTAAGAATTTTTAGTTCCAAGTTCAGTTTTTCGATTTCATTATAGTATGATATATACAGAGCAGTTTTTTATTATTTATTTAATTTGTAATGTAATTTAAAATTTAAGAAATGTTTCGCATGGAAAGGAGAAAAGGAAAATTGCAACTAAAGATTGCGAAAAATTAAAGTCTGTATTTGTTAATGAGGAATACAAATGATGTATATTACATACTTCTACGAATTTGTAGAAGACATTATGAGAGTAAACAAGGAATGGATAAAGAACAATATTTCAACTTTTCCTCACGTAAGTACGACTAGAAACAATAAATTTTAGTCTAATAATACTAGTTTATGCAAAGGTAATCGCCTATTTCTCTTTATGACAAATTACACATTTCAATCTTATACCGTTGTTGTCATTCAAATTCAAACAGGTGAAGATGATCTTTTTAACTATTAGAATACAATGTGATTCCATCGCTAGTAATAATGGGCAAAAAGACGTGTTTTGTTTTTCGCGAAATAATGTGTTTTTTTTTCGAATGAAAACATTTAAAAGTGTTCTTTTAGTGCATAACAAAAAAAAAAAAAAAAAAAAAAAAAAAAACAGGATAAAGAAAAAAAAAAAACAAAACAAAAAACAATGAAAGAAAAACAAATATGGGTGTAAAGACGTAGGATAATCGGATTGTCAGATGGCCAACATTCATAGAAACAAAAGTAAAAAATAATATTTTACTAAAACTAAACTGAACAAAATCAAACAAAACTCAACACAATTACAACATGCAAATAAACACAAATCAATGGACATACACATGAAAGAATGATACAAAAAGTAAAAATCAAAACATAATACACACAGCTAAAAAGTTGGTTAGTAAAAATTAAAAACAAATCAGCTAAATATGTCTCATCACAGCTAATACCATACACTTTGATTGAGGTCAAGATCTAGGACGTTTCGTTACTTGGAACATCAGATACTTTCACATTGAATAAATCTAAATTTCACATTACTAAACTTTTCACTGATTTAATATTGACTTATATAACACTATCAACTTCAATAAGATGTATGGCTCACTATATGTTCACTTCATTTAATATTGCACTAATTTCACAGCTTTCTACAGACATGACACTTCCGGTTGATATCATCATCACATTTCAATGACCAACCTTTAAACATATATTTCGAATCGTTATTATAAATAGCATTTACGCTATAATACCTCTGGCAATTTATATTTCACCAATATCTTCCGGTTTCTCAAATTAAACGGAACTACCAAACAATTTACCACAACTTCCGGTAAAGTAAACACCAACTTCTGTATATGCAAAATACATATTTTCTGCCACATAACATAAATACTGGCCGTTGTATGGTACGATAAGCTAACCCTCGTAACTGGTATTTAGGAAGATCTGTGTCAATAAGTGGGACGTACTTTGTCTGACCATTTTAACGCTGCCGCTTCAAAACTGAAAATAACACTGCATGGAAAAACCCCTGAAACAAATAATTGAACACCAAATAAAATTTATTTTCTAATGAAAACAAGATTTCACACCATAAATCGACCGCCACGTGATGAATAGTCTCTAGGTCTGTTCGATATACCAAAATGACAAGTAAATGATAACACCGTCAAAAATAGAAATAAATGTTCTTACCTGAGCAAATTCAATATATTGTCCTGTGAAACTCCATGTCCTGAACTGACAATTCTGAGGTATCACCAAATATAAATGAACTGCAGCAGATGAATACAGTAAAGCGCAACAAAATATTTGATGAGTTTGACATTAAACTGCTCTTAAATCATACACAATAAAGAATTTCCTATACAAGCTGTTAATCAACCAAAAAAGTGAACAATTTTAACAGGGACTATCAAAGATTTGACATTCCCTAACAAATCGAAATAACAAAATACAATCATTGAAGAGGTTCATATTTTGGAGGACAATTTTTCTTATTGTTGATAATTAATAGTGTGTTATTTGTACTCGCTAGATTTCAGTCAGGACACCTGATGATGATTTAGAAAATAACTGGAAAACAATGTTAAGAATAGTTTTTTGTTTAATGATTGGAAAATATATGACCACTTTTATTCGGTTTCTTTCCTACTAAAATTCAATTGAAAAATATGGAGATATGATATGATTGCCAATGAGACAACAATGTTTGTATTTTAAAACCGTGAATGAAACAAAATAAGGAAATTGATAATGACCCTTAGAAATTGCAAACTCTGTCTCAGATTCATATGTTTGTATAGATATATAATGCTGTTTTAAGTTCTGTCTTCAGGAAAACGGTTATCTAGGAGTGTTCTTACATTTAGAACCACAAAATAATCAAATATAATGTTAACATAAATGTTTTGACTTTTGTTAGTTCGGACACAAACACATATCATTAGGAAAAGGTACTGATTTGTTTAACCTGGTAATATAAAGAGAGTGTATTAAAATCAAGTTCCAAAATAGAAGCACGAATGAGTTTCCTAATTACAACACAGGAACACCAAGAAGTCAGTATGATCGTGAATTAGCAAATGAAAATGTATTGAATAACTTCACTCATTGAACAAGTAATGATATTTTTGGAAGAAATTAATCAGGGCAGGTACAGTACAGAAATAAATTGACCATGTTTAAAGTAGTTAATGTGATCTTATAAATCTAAGGTTGCATAAGTCTAATTTCTACTTAACTTCGGTCTTTGGTGGTGAGTTATCTTATTGGCAATCATACTATATCTTCTTATTTTTATAGTCATAATTTTTCAATTTCCCATTTTGTAACAATTTTGTTTTAGTATTTACACATGCATGCAGACCTTGGATTTTTTGCTCCAATGATAAAGCTAGCTGATAGAATTTCGGAAGAATTAAAGAAAGTTTTCATACTTAGTTTCCAGTATATCTCAGAAAATAAACCAGGACCAGACTGGACAGGTATTACTTATATTGTTATTAGCAGAAAAATAGAAAAAAAGAATATATTAGAAATTGACGTATTTAAAGTTAAATCGCACAAAATACTAGAATCATCTGCATTATAATCTATTCTTGAACGCCGCTTTGATAATTGTATTAAGTCCATGGTGTATATTAACGTTCTCTTTATTTGGATTATGTTAACAATTATCTGAATTATGTTTATCATATCTACACACGTATATTCTTACAAGGAAGTTGATACACTCTGGGAACAAACAACCTGTGATTAATTTCCCATACAATAAAACATGTACTTTATTTCAGATTATACACAACTTTCTCACCATTTGATAGTAATTAAATATTTATATAGTAAACAGTAGTTGGATGACGTTTAGAAGCAGAGGACCTAAAGATATAAGAAACCTTTTAGTCTAGTTTTATAGTGTAGTGATCTGTAGTGCGATTGAAGTTATAATAAGGTCAAACAAACCTTCCTTGAAATAAATGGTAGAAAAATACAAACAACAAATTTGTATCGAACAGCTTTAAAAGGTATATTTGAAAACGTTTTGTGTGGGGAGTAATCGTTTAATTTTTCTGACATCATAATACAGATATTAAGTGTGTTGTCTCTTTATGAATAAAAATGATTCAATAGTAATGATTTATTATCATTTTCATTCATCACAAGGAGTACAACATGGATGGGATTTGTTTTATGTATTTGGAGTGCCTACAATTGGACACCCGAACTTCTCATATACACGACGTGATGCAAGAGTCTCTAAGGACACGATGCATCTTATCAGTGAATATGTTCGAAAAGGGTATGTAACTTTCGAGCGCAATAAGATAAAGCAAATACAGTCTAATTTGATTTGTATTTTTTTTATTGTCATACAAGATAATTTGGGATAGTTTGGCACATTAAGAAATATGTAGGCCACTTTATTTATCAGTTGAGTAAATTACTGTTCATATTGTTTGTAATATATGATATTTATATAATTAATTGTAATAGGAGGATTGTTGAGAGTCATTTTTCCTTTTTCCATCACAGAAATCTGAACAATTCCTAATGCAATCAAACTTGGAACAGAAAATGAGAGCTCAAATTGAAAGTAATAAGAATACTTAGCTAAATCGATCACAATTAATAAATATCAAAGTATTGTCTAAAACAATTACATCTTTCAATGTTTTTTTATCTTTCAAAATTGTATTCAAGTGGTCAGGCACATTCCTGATGTGGTTTATTTGAGACGAGAAAACTAACACAAGACGCGAAAAGAAAAGGAAAAAAACAAACTTAGCTGCCTTCAAAATGACTAAATAAATATGAAAATATTACTTAACAAATTGAACATTATTTTTTACAGTTTTACCAGCTCAAATGTGATGAAAATGGAACTTTACAATTCATCTAGTAGATCATATAACAAACTGGATTATGTTGACGGGAAGACCATTCTGACAAATAATTTTAATTTCAGGAAACCAAGAATAGACTTTTGGTACAAGTATCTGTATGCTTATGATAATTATGAATGTTATAGAAATTACATTAGACATGGATGAATGTATTACTGATTCAAATAGTCAATGTCTTTTACACATAACGAACTTGGTATTGGTATGCATTTGCAATTAGTGCGACTGAATTAATAAAAGATGCAAATTCAACATTTATCATACTTTCAGTATTTTCCTGTATACCTCATTAGTTTTTGAGTGTCAATATTTTGTAATGAGACCCTTTTTCGGTCTTAGATTAAAGGTATTTCAAGACACTACAGGGAGATAACTCTGTAAAAATCAGCTGAACGTTTTAATCACCTTCTATTGTTAAGCAAATATTAAGCTTCTCAATGATCAAAATTAGTGTTTGTCAAACTGCTATTTATCCAATGAAATTTTTCCGATAAAGTGTGTGGTTCTTTGAAGTTTTTTGAAATATTTATTTTTTTGTCAAAGGGTCAAAGTAAATATTTTGTCAAAATTTTATGAAAATTAAACGAGCCAAATTAATTTTAGTCAAGGTGTTTGGTACCACCTTAACATGTTTTAATGTAAGAAATTCATTAGATGTGTTATCTATCCCGATGAAACAACTATTTACCAAAGACTAATAAAAAAGAGAGACGGAAGATACCAAAGCAGAATCAAACTCATAAGTCGGAAACGAAAAGATAATTTTATGGCAAAAGAAAACCGTCCAAAAGACAAACAACAGTATACAACAATCAACATAGAAAAACAAAGAGAGAGAAACACGAACCCCACCAAAAACTGTGGGTGATCTCAGGTGCTCCGGAAGGTTAAGCAGATCCTGATCCACATGCGACACCCGTCGTGTTTTCATTTAAGTACAAACTCGTTGATTTCACAATCGAGGAAAAGAGGACGGGATTGTGGTAACCAACAATTGAAACATATCTGTTGTCATCTATGAAAAAGATATTCCATAACAATCAACCAACACGTGATGGCGTCCGTAAAATTTTCGAAGGAATGACTTCAATTACACCACTTGGATCCCTTAGTGTTATAGCTCCACTATAAACAGCAACAATCTATCAAGTAAATACTGATAGATAATTCATGATCTAGAACATCGTATCAACCGGGAGATATTTACTCCATATGCAGGTACATTAGCATGGTAAATATCCGAAAACTATCTATTGTACACAAATAAGTTTTTGAGCACGCCATTGTCACGGGAACTTTTAATATAAAATATTATGTTTGACGTGTGAATATAACGATTTAAACATAATATCTGTTAATTTAAAAATTGAAGACAAATATGTTTACAAATATGATTATCCGTTACAAGATTTTACAATATTTTCAAAGAATTTTAAGAAATGATGTATTCGCATTTAATGTTTTTTTTCTCGGCATAAAGTCCATTTTAAATTGCCTTATGACTAAAATTTAAGCGGTTATCTTTTCTGTTTATCAATCGCTTTTGTTGATACTTATTTCTGAACCTCACAAGACAAGTTGCTTACATATACGGATAATTGATGCGTTCTAGTGTACAGACACTAGAAAAATAAATTGAGTTTGGTATGTGAGGAATGTATTCCCTTGTCAACCTTTCAACCCAATACTAAACAAAACTCACATAACCAGCTGTCCTCATCCCATGATACATTTATAAGGAAGGAAATGATTACATTATAAGGTAATTCTACTTTTATCTCATTATTTTCAATATTATATTTTTACGAGCACGTTTTCTTGCTTACTTATAACCAGTAGCGTCCTCGTAAAGAACGTCCAAGACATTGACTGTCAAATGTCTCAGTGTTTGCATGTTACTACGTTTTCCACTGTGAACATTTAGTATAAAAGACAGAAAAAACTACTCATAACTACATTTGTTAATCAACAAAGAGAGGTACATGTATTTTAATTATTTCTTAAAAGGGCATTAGCTGTCAAATTCATATTAATCGATTTGAATCAAATTATCATATTTGATTTATAACATACTAAAACATATATCCAAATTATAAAAAGTCTAAAATAAACAATTTACGATGCATGGACTTGATAATATGTATCAGCATTTCGTGTGTATTTTAGTCTAGACGCCATCTAACTAACCATTGAGGTGACCTCTGAAGACTGCTAACGGTCATATAGACCGATATAAACATAAATATAGATAATAATAGATAGCGAACACGTGCAATTTGATTTATAGGTCTGTTTGATTTCATATTTTAGATTAAAAAATATGTTAATCATCGTTTTTACCTGTATAAGAATGAGTTTTTGTGAATCGAATCAGTCAACCTAATGGTTTGCCCTTGTTTCACCTTCAATGTTGACATTCTTTTCCTTTCAATAGCTGAACACGCCTAGTTTATGCGTAACCCATCTCTAGCTAAGGGGTTAAGTTGAAGGTCACACGAATACGGATTCAATGAGGTCGAATTATTCTTTTGCAAGTGAATAATTCATCAGCGATGTTTCTTAGCGTATTATGACAAAATTGAACCAAGCTAGCTGCTAAAAACGAATTACTATTTCACTATCTCACTTTCATTAAGGATTGAACAAGGAGAATCAAATTTCATTTTTTTTTATATTTCGTAGCTAATGCCCCTTTAAGTAATTTGATAATATTTTCAGAGTTGCCATCTGTTTGTTTGTAAAGAATTGTATATTCACATTATTACATAATACACACACGATTATTTGTAATAGATATCCCATCAGGACGCGGTGTGTCAGTGTAAGATCATCCCGATGGCAGGAGGCCAGAGGGTGATCTAACACTGACACACCAAGTCCGAATTTTTCAACATAAATTTTGATAGTATTTTCCGTATAAATATTTCTAAGTTTTAGTATAAATTTGACATTCCCGCCAAAATGATACAGAACAAAGGAAAGCATGCAGAACAAAGAAACTAAAGCTAGGGTGATCTGGTAGGGGTGATCCGGCTCAGATCACCCCTGGTAGAACAAAGGAGCTGGGATGTAATAACAGCTAAATGTGAATCAATAATAACTTCATTCAACCGAATTGTGTTAAGATTCAATTGCAATGACCAGTTCATGTCAAATTAAGAGCAAGGCGTAAATTCTGAGGGGTAAAATATCATTCCTTTAAGGTCATTGCTTGTAATTGCTAAACAATAATACTCAACTATATATTTTGCATAGAATTTTGGTCTTCCATTTCATTTACGTATTTAAAGTAATAGATAGTACAGGCTCTAAAAATCAACCAAATTATTAGTTAAACAGCAAATTTGAAGTAAAAGAGCGTTAAGTAATTTAGAAATAAAATATTGATACATAGCAAAATCAGTTCTTTAAATACTGCAAAAAATCTAATTCTAATTTATTTAGTGGTTGTCATCAATTGTGTTTGAGTGAACCATGTATAGTATAGCAAACATTGTTAGTCTTGTGTGTTTTTGAATTTTGGTTCATTTATATGTTTAGGAGTTAAGTGTGGCGTCCATTCGCTGAACTAGTTAGACATTTTTAATTGATGTTTATATTAGTGTTTCATGTTCTGTCCGACTCGGCTTCTGGCAATTCCATTATTTATTTAGGTGGACGATACACATTTTATTACTAGATTTATGATGTCTGTGGTAGAGACGGCAATGTTTTCTTAACCATCTCATGAACTTGGTGCACGTGTTAATTTTCAATCTTTTCAGGCTTATTCAGTCAGTTGCATTAATTAGTTAGTAGCAGTAGCAGTGCAAAAATTCAAATCAATTTCACAACTTTTCACAACTTCCTAAAATGCCGCCAGTTCGTAAAAAGCGTTAAGAAAAGTGACACACCAGTTGTACAGAATTCTAGTAATACGGAATTGACATTTGACGAAATTAAAGAAAAACTAAGGAAGCAAGGCATCAGGGCTCCATCAACTTTCACCAAAGAGCAGTTATTGGAACTACTAAATGAGAATACAGGACAAGATAATGCAGTTATGCCCGAGTTTGCAGCATTAACTCAACTTACCACCAGCTTAAACAACATGGAGCAAACTGTTTAAAATCAAGGAACTTTAATTCAGTCGCTTTTAGTTCGAGAATCAAATAGTATTAGTCAACCTGCAGTCGTTAGTGATATAAGTAATGGAGTACATCATGATACAGGATCTTATTACACCGCCAAGGTTTCCTCAGGCATGTTTCCGCATGTTCAAGCAGTGACACCGAACGTTCGGAAACAGATATTAGAAGGCAAGTACATTAATCTGGCTACTCTACTTAACAATCAAGAAAACGTACAAGATTATAAAACTGTTGATGAATCTGACGGGTCCGCTCTGTTAATTAAACATCGCGATCCTCGCCTTCAAAGAAACTTGTCTATTCAAGAATTTCTAGAAGCTTTCAATATTTACAAAAATATTATTTGTGAAAAGCAAGACCGACGCATCGAATTCGATATGTATATTCAAGATGTCATTGATATCTCTGCAAGATATAAAGGTCCCGTTTTCTACGAGTATCACAAGGCTTTCGCAAATAAGGTAGCTGCTATCAAACTGACCCACGGTAAAGTTGTAGATTGGTCCATCAGAGACGAAAAACTCTATTCATCCATCACAAGTGGAAAAATTATTAAGGAATGTGAAACATGCGGTAGTCTTGGGCATCTCACAGCTGTTTGTCAAACGTTACCTAGCTTTGGTCAATCGAATAATCGATCCAAACCAACTTATAATCAAACCCATTTTCAGAAATCACAAGTTGGAAGTAACGGTCGTGATGATTCCAATACAGATATACGAGGACGCCCCGTTCTTTTCTTTCGTGGTCGGGAAGTGTGTAACAATTTCTTATCAGGAAAATGTTTCAAGGGGACAAAATGTTTATTCGCCCATGTCAATACTAGATCATCTAGTGGTGCTACTCCGAACAGTAGGCCGTCACAAGAACAAGCGCAGGCTAAGAATTGACTAGTGTCTACGCCTATTGATATCGATCAACTTGAAGTTGAACTTACACATTATCCAGATAAAACTTTTGTCAATAATTTAATTGATGGACTTCGATATGGTTTTGACACAGGCATAAACGTACTACCAAGTAAATCTTTGGAATGTAGGAATTTATTGTCTACCAAGAAATTTTCCGATGACGTTACGAAACTGGTAGATGACGAACTTCGAATTCGTAAAGGATACCTTA